ACGTGCTATTGAGAATACAAACCAAAACAGGCTAAAATAATACAATCTTTTTTTCAGGATAAGATCTATGTACAGATCTCTGTGGATGTGTGTGTGTGTGTGTGTGTGTATGAAACAACAGAGGACATTGAGTGTTTTTGGATGAGTGTATTTCTCTGTAAGGATGTGTGCAGTTTGGTTTGTCATACAGATGTGTTCTCTGGGACTCTGCAGGAAATACTTTGCCATAAGATGAGAAATGACATATTCAATTTTGTCTTAGTCTTTGTGTTTAAATGTGGCCAAACTGTCAACCACAATCTGACCAAAGCAGTAAAACACAAATGGCTCAGAAATCACTGAAAATCCCTCATACTCCAGCTGTAAATTAAAGGAGATTCTTTGCTACAGCAGTTGAAAGACTGGTGTTCGGGCTGCGGAGATGAGATTAAAACAGCGAGTTGTACAGAGGCCTGTTTCTACAAACAGCTGCAGACACACTGAGCTGCTTCAAGTGTCATTTTTATGAAATAAGGATGAGAATATACTTTATAAGATACCTTACAAATACCTTATGACAATTACAATCAATCTGCTCTTTCGCCTGGCAAGTGCCCCCTACATGATCGCACGAAGTGAGGCCCCATGAAGTAGTTACCACAGCTGGATTCCATTTCTGCAGGTCCTAAAACCCCACTACCACCTGGATCTGAGCACAATCTCACCCGTCTGCAGCCATTAAATGTGTGAAGAAAAACGTACATGACCTTTGACTGCGCATAACACTGTTTTTGGAAGGCTTATTTTTGCAAATGTGCTAACAAAAAGAAACGTATACTTATTTTGTTACATTTTCTCAGTGCAGTGTAGTCAGGTTTTTCATTAAACATGACCCAATGGATAGTTCAAATAAACCAGAAGAGAAATGGGTGGGTTCTAACCATCCATCCAATGTCCATAACTCTTGTTCCTAGTAGGGTTGGAGGGGGTACTGGAATCTATCCCAGCTGATACTGGGGGAGAGCTGGGGTGCACCCTGTACTGGTTGGCAGTCCATGACAGGGCCACACAGAGACAAACAACCAACAACATATATCCACTCCTATGGGTAATTTACAGTGACAAACTAAATCAACAGGTTTTTTTTAAAGACTGTGGAAGAAAGCCAGAGTACCTGGAAGGAACCCACACAGACGCAGGCAGAACATGCAAACTGCATACAGAGAGGTTCCCAGACTCCCGGGGATTCAAACCAGAAACCCTCTTGCTGTGAGGCGAACAAGTCAACCAAACCCATATGCAGTCCGGCTTTAATCATTCTGGCTCATCTGTAAAACCTTATTATTTAAATACAGAAAAATGGATTCACAGCAGCAAAGTAAGTCATTTACCAATATTCTGTTCTATTAGAATCTTTCTATAAAAAAAAGGTTGTACATCTAGACACGAAAATGCAAAGCTAAATGACACGAATTCATCACATTTTCCCAGAAAGCACAACTGCTTACAGCTTCATTGTTGGACATTTCTGAGAAATGACAAACATAACATCTATTCTCTTGTTGCTTTGTTTATCGGGAACGGACCCTGGATCTTGGACTAGATGGCGAGCAGGCCAAAAACAGTGACGCACAACACCTCCTCACTCAGACTTCTGTTGAACATGTGCTGCCCTGGCACCAGTTCCTCCAGAGCAGGTCCAGAGAAATGTGTTGTCCTTGGACACTGTTGCCAAAGCAGCATCAGCAGGGAATATTTAAAAGCAAGAATCAGGAGATGAGCGGCCAGGAGTGAACGAAGACCTCGGGAGGCTTTTTCCCACCCATGTTAGTTTGCACTTTGGCTACAGAGTAACTGAACACCGCATCTGTGCCATTCCTCCTTACATATGTTCATAACCATCACATACAGACAAAAACTACAATATCTTAAATTCAAAGCCAAATTTTAATTGGCACATCCCTTGAATTGAAATATCGGTGCTTAAATATGTGACATTTTTGTGTGTGATGTCATAACCTTCCTCACTCCCAGGAGACTTTGGCTTCTTGAGTACACTGGGTAAGGCCACACCTCTGGTGAATCAACATGCTTGATGAGGACACTGAGTCCAGTTTAAAAGCAGATGTTTAGATACATTTGAATTAAATTATTTGCAAGTCAGGATGGGGATGGTCAAAAGCAAATCATCTGTAGGTCATATAACATATAGGGGAACCATAGTAACCAGACTCACTCCCGCCAGAGACATCATCTCAGTCATTTCACCATCTAATGCAGCATGTCTTCCCTCCTCAGCTGAGTACCGCTGGCCTGACATGTGACAGTGGGAAAAGAAGAAGAAGGATCCAAGCCTGTTAATCACATATCAGTGGAACGAAAATTACCAGAGACTTGCGAGTCACAGAGTAACTAACTAACTTTCCTGAAAAATTGTCAAGAGGCATTACAAAAGTGGGCGTTTACCGGATAACGCTACGAATGTGGTCATCGCTGTGGATTTGATGGTGTGGCTGCAAACACTCAATTAATCTAAAAAGTCTGGCAGTTGGATGCCTTCTGGGCCAAGTAATTGCTTGCTTTTTTTATCATTTGCAAAGCCCAGCAAAACATACTGGATCTGTCAGCAAACGATGGCAATTTATGTGGTGACCTAAGGGAAAGACATGCTGGCGATTTTGGATCCATTCCCAGAGCAGCAACCAACCCCTTAACGGGCAGGTGATCAGCAGGTCCAGCAGGAGTTGAGTCAGACGCATTGCATAGGTCACTGCACGGCATCGGGGATTACAGGGTGTTTGCACTTTGCAGGCCTTTCAATCAATTTTGTTTTTGGTCCTATAGTTTTTATTTTGCTATAAGAAGGCAGAATTGATCTGCAGAACGACACACTGGACAGATGACAAACATACAGGATAGCACAATTTCAGTTTGATGCAAAACAAACCTGATGTAGGATTCATCGTTGGTGGAAATTCACTGCAACCTTCTTCTGAATAGCTTCTAGCTGACCTCCAAAGCAGTTTCCCCTTGTACTTAAATCCAGAATCCTCTGAATTAGTTCACCTAAAGGTAAGACAACTGTTTAGTGTTTAGTTTAATTTTTTATTAGTCATATTCAATAAAGAAAAGGGCTCATGTTTTACATTCAATGCATATTTTCGGCTCACGTATTGCCAAATAATCCCACTCAAATCATCCCACCCCACAAAATCCTGTTCAGAGTAAGCAACCAAATTAGTGAAAAAAAGTTCTCCTAGTGGCCATTTGATTTAAAGGGAATTGTCTTATGTCAGTATAAACCAATAAACAACAATCCAGCACACTGAAAAGGGTTTAGTGGCAAATAATGCCATACTGCTTGTGTTCAGCATAATGGCAAAGTACCCAAACTCAGACCTTTGGTTCAGCCTAAATGAGCCTGGCTTTTTTAATGGCATCATTGGGGGATCGTGTAAGGATGTGTCAGTAGAGCTGTTGCACACTTCCAACAGGTGACCGGTACAATCAAGATAAAATAAGGGCACAAATAAACTCTATTTGCGAACAATGTGACTAATGCCTAATCTGCATGTGATATTATTTCTGATGAGGTCATAACAAAATGCTTTTTACATGGTCATATCTTTTTCAGTCTTCAACAGGTCTATGTCAGAATATTGATGTGAGTGTAACCACAGCCAATGACCATTTATTAGTACTTCTGACACCACCTTTTAAGACGCCATACAGTTTATCAAGTAATCAAAGCTATCAGCTATATGAGTAATTTACTGCAATACAACAATACAGTATATATTTCTGACAGACATCGTACCTTATATGTTTTTATCCCACATTTATTAACTTTTATCGTATTTAGTGCAAAGGTGGGCTCTAAATCTGTTGCCCTTTCACCTTTTCCATGTGGGATCAATGAACCAAAGGGGAATATTGGCCTTCCATCGTTGATTGATAACAAATTATTCATGCCATTGATTAAATGTAAGCTAATTAATAAAGAGGTTGTAAAAAAAAAAACTGGGATTAGTTGTTCATGTGATTTGAGCTGGACGAATTTCTTGTCAAACCGCCCACCGGAAGTTGGAGGGTGTTACTCAGTCCAATAGCAATTTACTACGAGGCTAATTTAGCAGTGTTTGAAATCTAGGTTAGGTCCCAGATGCCCTAACCTTCTTAGCCTCTGAAACTATCCTAATGATAGACATTAATAAGCAAAGAAACACATTGGTGGTACCCGAATATTTCAGCACAATCTTTATCAAAGAGATAAAATAAGATAAATACAAAAAAAAGCTTCTCACCTGAGTGTTGGAAAACTATACGCATGATACTCGTCTGACCTCTGAGTCTCACGCATGTCAAACTGGTCATTTCTCGGCACGACTTTACTTTTAGTAGACAAAAGTCTTTATAAACGTTCTTGGACTAAATTGCACGCAGAGTGGCACCAAATGGCTATTTTGGTCTGAATATACAATGGACAGTTGCATGTCTATTCCAGCAAACGGCGCCAAACTCCACACGTGTGTTCAGACCGCTTGCCAAAGGAATTCCAAGCCCAGTGCAGGATTCACGGCACCGCGTAACTTTGTATTCCCAGTTTGAGAGTGCAAACGATTCACATTTATAAATAATTAAATTTTAGAGCAGTAGTTGACCTCGCTGCAGGAATATTTTCAGCGATACAACCTTTGCTTTTTTTAAATTCTGCTGTGATTAATAAATTTGATCAAAGGGAAAATAAACATTTTAAAGCACCGTGAGGTGTTTGTGTTCTTGTCAAACTGCTGTCCTGAATTTAAAAATACACGGTGGGTCGATGGCGTCTTAATAGGTGACATATCAAAGTAGATGCGTAATTAACAAACATAAGATGGTTAAAAGGATGTATACAATATGGGAAAGATGTGAATATCAGGGATTAAATAGTAGAGCAGTAATACTATTGTGCCCTGGAGCAAGGTGATCGATTCAGATATTGACACCGAACTTCGCCGCCTGCTGTCTTCTCTGCGTTGTGCTGATGTGTCTGATAGTCCCTGAAGACATCTTGGATTTTTTCATTTTTTTTGGGGCTGTGGGGTGTGGAAGACAGTTTGACTTCTTCCGTGTTTACCTGAAACAAGGGAGGACTTTTCTAAACGTCCATAATAATTTATCATACCGATAACATAAGTAAAGTGCAGATGTATTGAAGTTCACGATGAGCCGGTGAAACCAAAAAGTTAAACGAAGTCAAATTACTGAAAGTTTTTTTTTGTTTTCCTTTTGTTTTTGTTTTGTCGAAGCTGTGTTGTGCGAGTTAACAATGGGTTGTTGTAACAGCTCGGAGGTAAGTTAGCTTGTCCGAAGTTGCCCATTAATGGCTGCTTTCCTTTTCCGTTTACAAACACATGGCGTCGCTTTACGCCGGTCAGTGCAGCGTCTATTTTGCAACAACTCGGTGGCTTGTTTGTCTGCGGGAATTGGAACAATAGAGCAGCTACCCCAGAGCTCCGAGCAACAAAAAAAACAAAACAAGTGTAGGATAATCGCTACTGTCTCTTATGTCTTGGCAGAGTAAACGTGACTGGAAACCGCTGGAGGAGCGCAGCTGCACGGATATTCCATGGCTCATCCTATTCACGCTGTTCTGTGTCGGGATGGTAAGATCTCCTCTCCTGCTCTGTCCAGTTTCTCAGGTTGGGGTTGGATTCCAGTGCCTTTTTTGGGAGTGTGTTGGTTCGTCGGGTTGTTGGATATATCCCTGTCTCTTGCATTGGCATCATTTGACGTTAAAAGCCCAAAACAAAACAAACTTCCCAAGGTTTATTCTTATATTATGTAAGTCATACATAATCAACGTTATTGGTATTCTCTTTAGATGTAGATTAGAAAAGATTGGAAAATGTTCTATTATGACAAGAGTTACCTATCTTTGCATAGGAATCCAAGTGTATTCATATGCTTTACTTTTTTTCTGGGCTCATACAAATAAAAAATGTAACCCTGGCTAAAACAGATATTTTGTTGGACACCTCACACTGCCTGGAAACGTTCCCCATATATATTTAGTTGACTCTACAAACTGAAGAAGCAGTGCTCAACAGATGTGTCAACAGATGTGTCTCATGGATATCAATATGAATATTAAATAATATGAATATCAATAATCGAACATCTTTAAAGGAGTGGGGGTGGTTCATGTGCCCTGTCCTCGTGTGCTTCACACGATCCGAATTCCAATGGCAGCAGTTTTGATATTTTTAATTGCATTTGCTATCTAACTGTATCTATAATAAATCTTTAGCAACATAATTTCCCTTTGGATATTATTGAAGTATTATTAAATGGAATCAAGATGAATTAATGATTCTGTTTGAAATTAAGCCCTTTGAGGATTTATACCCTGTTATGACATGGAAAATAGGGAGAGATGATATCGTGTTAATTTGGTTAGTTTTGGACCACACTTGACTTGGGTTACTGCGATTTTATGTGGAAATGTTTTATTGAAGCTTTTATGGATATAATTTCTGTGAGATCAAATGAGAGATCCCCCAGAAAAATACAAAATCTGTTGATTAGGCGTCAGTGTTTTCTTTTAGTATAATTGTTTGATGGTAAAGATTGTCTTTCATTTATCTCCCTTGCAGGCATGTATTTGTGGCTTCGCCATCGCCACAGGAGGAGCGAGCAGGCTTGTCTCAGGATATGATAGTTACGGGAATACATGTGGCCGGAATAACTCAAAGATAGAAGGAGTACCCCTCAGTGGTCGGGACATGACCGAAAACAAGTAAGTGTCATTTGATAGAGATTACATTTTTTTGGCTACTCTAACCAAAAAACATGCATCTTTGATGAAATTCTTCCTAAATGCATGTTTGGAAATGAATTAAATGTAATTTTAGATTTTTGTTCTCGGTTTTGTTCCCTGTTTTGGACCTGCCCTCTGCATCAGCACGCAAGCCCGAAGGCCCAGCTTCACCCAAAACAATGGGTCATGCTTTATTGATGGGCTGATTGCCCATGGTGGCTTTGAATGAAAGGCTTTCCGCTAACAAAGAAGGATCTGTCTGGATAGCAAATGTCACTATCTTCCATGTTCTGCCCAGACAAAACCGCCCCAACTGGCTATTACTAAACATAGATTTTTATCAAAGAAAATGTGCGTCTCATTTTGACTTAGGCGTGTGTGTGTGACCTTGTCAAATATTCAGTCACTCTGAAATTCTAACTTTTCTCCTTTCAGGTATGTTTTCTTTCTAGACCCTTGCAACCTCGACGTCATCAACAGGAAGATTAACTCCATTTCCCTGTGTGTTTCCAAATGTCCTGCTGCTGAACTGAATACGCACAAAGATTTGAAGCAGTTTGCTCTTAATAATGGTAAGAACATTAGGCAAGCTTCCAGCTTCATCCCACTGCCAAAAGATACACGATTGGTTAATTGGAAACTCTAAATTGGCCTTAGGGAGTAGCGTACGCTCGGTTGCATGTCTCATTCATCTCTTTTTTAACCTTGTGAAGTCAGCAGAGAAACGTCTAAATGAACCAAAAGTGTGTTTTATTCTTCATTATAACACTTGCATTTGTTAGTGAAACGTATACCCCAGAGTAAGAGGTTTTCAAACAAGAAAATTAGAATGAAAATAGAAAAGGAAGAAGCTTCTATAGAGGTCAGTGATCGATGACGCTTGAATCAATTCACTTGATGAAGTCATCAATATATAAATGCAAGCAAGTGAGAATTCTTGTCCAGTTAAAGCCTTAATGAAACCACATTAGCTGATTAATTGTCCCCTTTTTGCAATTGATTTTAAATTTTGTGGTACATTGTTCTAAACTTTCTAATCTATTTTTTCTTCCCCTCCTCCCACTGTTAGGCTCCCATCTCTGCTCCTATGATATTTCTCCCACAAGATATGTAAGCCATTCAGAGAGATTCATAAAGTGCCCAAAACTTCCTGTTCAACCAAGGTAATGTATTACAACTTTTCAGCCTAACATTTTAATGAAAGATATTTATTTTACAGTTCAATGTTAACATGTCCATGAATAGATAAATTACATAAACATGTTTAGGAATTTCACCCTAAGAGACTGAGTTTCTGGTCACATGTAGTGCCTTTTATTTAGAATATTTTCTCATATAGTCATATACTATGTTCTGTTGGATTTCTGAGGTAACTATACTATACTGTAATATACTATTTTATGTAATACTATATTTTATTGTCACTTTGTGACACCTGCTCATAGTCAGTCAACGACAAAGAGATAATTCACTTTTATTTGAATAGATATAGAAAATCTACCATGACCCATAAGGGCAAATTTCTAAGTGAGTCATTGAAAAACAATGAGTTATAATCCTGGATTTTCTTTTTCCCGTTTTCAGCAAGGCTGTGCCCGTGTTCCACCGCTGTATTCCAATGGACATCAGCTGCTACACGAGGTTTGCCCATGCCGTCATCACGTATGTGGGCGACGACTCCGTGCTGCATCGGGTCGTCGCCGGGGTGATGACCAGCAAGGAGATCATCATGGGTCTTTGTGTGCTGGCGTTAGGTAGAACACTTTTATTTCCTCAATCCCATCAAACAAAGTCAGCATGACATATGTAGAATTTCTGTAGTTCATTCATTCGTTTTTAATCCAGAAAAAAGCCGACAGACATTCTTTTTGTTTGGTTTGCTGCCCCGGGGCACTGCTGTAATTGCACACAAGCATTCAGCAGGAAGGAAACGGTGGGGCGGGAGACTGTTTTTGACATTTGAAAATAAAGCAATCCGGAAATGTCCGAGTGGTTACAAGTATTGTTTTAATTTATAGTCTGATCTAAGTCTTTCTTTTTGTACAGCAGAGAAATCAGAACTGATAATATGTCATATTATGAATGTCTAATCTCATATAATATATATTGTAGTTTGGATTTATGATTATTAATGAATGGCTCTTGGCTAGACAGGGTCTTTTAAGGATGTGTCTCACTCTTTCCGGAGTCACTGTTTGAAAGAAATTGAAATAAAAATAGAACAAAAATACTCTGAATTATGCTTTTCACTGTAAATTTTTGACCTGCTCCTAAGATAATGTAGCCGAATTGTTGACTCTCTTTCCATTTAAATTTTTTTTTTTATCTATTAATGAAATGCATTGTGTTACCCTTTTTTGTTTTTCCACGCAGTTCTCTCCTTGATCATGATGGTGGTTATTCGCTACATCTCACTGGTATTGGTGTGGATTCTCACAGTTCTGGTGATCATCGGCTCTGTAGGTAATGTGCTGTACACATGCGCTCTATGTGACCGTCTGCTGATACGAGTCTGCAGTGTCTTTGGGGTTTTTCTGGCCATCGTTCTGTTTTTTGTTTTTTTAACCTTCAGTTTCTACTGTTTTTCAAAATGTTTCTTTTCTGCATCGACACACGTGATTTTTGTACAGGTGGGACGGGGATCCTCTGGTGGCTGTATGCAGACCACAGACAGGCCCTGAAACATAACACCACATCAATATTGGGGGGAGAAGTGGCTTCAGACAATGTTAAGGCATTGCTTGTGTATTCGATTGGCGCTACTATCTTCACGGTAGGTGTTGATGCACAGAGACTGTATGCATGGATGAAACTTTTCTGTTGTCTAAATGACTGGATTCACACATACTATTAAACTGTATTTATTAGATGTATTGAATCTGAAATGGAACCCGTCTAGGACATCTGGGGAAGTGGTTGTACACTAAACGAAGCTACAACATTTGTTTAACTTCTCAGGTAGTGCTTTTGTTGGTGATGTTCTTCATGAGAAAGCGTGTGGCTCTCACTATTTCCCTGTTCCACGTGGCGGGCAAAGTCTTCATCCATCTGCCCCTGCTGGTACTGCAGCCTTTCTGGACCTTCCTGTGCCTCATGCTCTTCTGGGTTTACTGGATAGCTGTGCTTCTCTTCCTCGGCACCACAGGTCAGTGGGAGAGCTTATGCAGAACTGACACTGGCTTTGTGTGTTTCCTTCATCAAACCAGATTGTTTGGCGGTACAAAACCCCCAAAAAATAGAATATTAATTTTGTGACATTTTGTACGGGTTTCCTGGAATGAATCAACACCCACATTTGGAATCTTGTGCCAGTCTTGTGATTTAGACAAAGCAGTCTAAGAACAACTTCTCTCCTCATCTCCCACTTCCCTTTTTTTTTCTTTCTGGAGTTGATTTGGAAGCAGAAAATAAACGTGCTAGCTCTTGTCATCTAGCTCTTGTCAAAAAAACTTGCTGCACAAGTTGATTTGGGAAAATTATGAGTAGCACAGGAAAGAGCATGCCACATGGGGCTAAATTTAAAGTACATGTTGGTTCATGCCTCAGTTTCAGTGCTGTGTGAAGAAAAATTACAGGACGGTGATAAGAGGCAGAAGGTACCGAGTTGTGAATGTTAAGAGAAGTATCATTTTTAGGATTGTTTCCTGGCATTCTGTACAAAAAATCATAAGATTTTAAAATCAAACACTTCAAAATCCAACCCTGAATTCCTTCTCCCACAGGCACACCAGTAAAGAATAACGCCACCGGTCTGGTTGAATATCAAATGCAAAGCCCTCTTCAGTACATGGTGTGGTATCATGCCGTTGGCCTCATCTGGATTAGTGAGTTCATTCTTGCCTTCCAGCAGATGACCATTGCCGGATCTGTGGTCACTTACTATTTCACAAGGTTTGAAAAAGATGTCCGAGCATTTTTGTTACTATTGTATTACATTTCAGTTGATTATGTCTTTCTTCCCTGGTATGTCTGACTTAAGGAACAAGTCCCAGATGCCATTTACACCCATTCTTTCTTCCATGGCACGCACGATTCGCTACCACCTGGGTACTCTGGCCAAAGGCTCTTTCATCATCACCCTTGTTAAGATTCCCCGTCTTATCCTAACATATATCCACAGTCAGCTCAAAGGAAAGGTAAGTCATAAAAGTTTGGGCTTGGACTTTTCCATATATTGGTACAGTTTTGGTATGTAACGGTATGCTTCTGTACCCTGTGCATAAAACTGACCTTTTTTTTCTACACTAGAGAAACGTATTTGTCAGTTTTGAGCTTTGAGACTGAAACAATAACGAAAAAGGCCACAAAACTATGTGTATATTTCATCCTCAAACAAAACAAAAGTTTTTCGTTCAGTTTGTGGTGCCACAGGGCAAATCAGTGAAAGCCAATAATGTCAAGTGTGGTATCTCAGGTCCCAAAATACAATAAAGGTTAGTTTACTTGAAAACCAGTTGGAAGCTTAACCTTCAAAACTTCTCCAGGGTTGCTCTAATTTTTTATCCCCAATGTGGAGCACAAAGCCACTAAGCCGTCCCCATACACATGCTGTTATAGAGATAATTGAGTTTCTTTACATTTCTTTTTTTCTGACAGGAAAATGCCTGTGCCCGATGCATGCTGAAAGCCTGTGTCTGCTGTTTGTGGTGTCTTGAGAAGTGTTTAGCCTACCTGAATCAAGTAAGAATCACATGTTAAGGTTTTTAAATGCAACACGTGGGAGTCCATCATCTTTTTAACTGGCAATTCCTTGTGAAATGATTTCAGAATGCTTACACTGCAACAGCCATCAACAGCACCAGCTTTTGTACCTCAGCCCGTGACGCTTTTGTTATCTTGGTGGAAAACGCTCTCCGAGTGGCAGCCATTAACACTGTGGGCGACTTCGTGCTCTTCCTTGGAAAGGTATCTGATTGTCTTCTTGTTCTCTGCTATGATTAAAGTAAAATAAATGTTATTACTAATTTAAAAAATGGAATTATAAGATGACAGAGTGTAAATTGCATAGTTAATAACTTAAATTGTGGCGACACAGTTTTGTGAGCGTTGTGTCCTCAACTTGCATATACTGCCCTCAAGTGGCTAAAAATATTGATATGTCCTGCTCATTATGCTGTGTTTAATGGTCTCTATGTAACCTTGTGTCTACATTTTTTCAGGTTCTAATAGTTGCCTGTACAGGCTTTGCTGGGATCCTGGCTTTAAACTACCAGAGGGAATACACCGTGTGGGTGCTGCCTCTCTTCATTGTGTGTTTGTTTGCCTTCCTGGTGGCCCATTGCTTTCTGTCCGTGTTTGAGAACGTCGTCGACGTCCTCTTCCTTTGCTTTGCCGTGGACACAAAGTATAACGATGGCAGTCCTGGGAATGAGTACTACATGGACAAGGCCTTAATGGTGAGGGAGCAGTTTTAAAGAGTATCCTAGGAGTTTTATGAGGAAAATCCATAGCTAGACTATGCTAGAATGTATTTTTTTTAAATTAGTTTATAATGATTGAAAAAAAGTTGAAATTCAAGATAGAACATTAAGATCATTTTTGATGTACCCGGTCTGCGACAGTCTTTACAGTTCTCTTATCTGTCTAAAAAAAATTCTTTGCTATGTATCACTTTCCAGGAATTTGTAGAGAACAGTAAGAAAATGGGTCGTTTCAAAGCAGAAGAGGGAGATGGACGGGAGATGAAGTCCATGGTGAGCTGAAAAATATGTAGATTTACTTTTGTTTTTGAATTTGTTTATGATTGTGATTAACTGTGTCCATTTTTTCTCCCCTTTTTGTAGACCCGTGGAGGCATTTTTGCTTGACCAAGTGTGTGCCAGACTGCTAATATTAAATATATTTTGTACAGAAGCACTTAAAAGTCACAGCACGTGAGTCCGACTTCGCCTTAAGTTTGAGATTTTTCAAACAAAATTTTTTTAACACTTGAAATGTCATTTTAAGTTAAGTTGACTTTTTTTTAAATCGCTGTTGAGCTGATATTTCCTTGTAAGTGCTTTCTTAATAATGTTTGTATTTTAACATGGTTCAAAATATTTGTTTTTTCTAGATTTTTTAAAAAGAGATGTGTTGAAATTCTGCCACTGTACTGTCTGATTCAGACCATTTTTTGGAACGTGGCTCATCATGTTTATCTGTTTTTAACAAGTTGTATATAACTTATTACATTTTTCTATTAAAATAAAACACAGTGTGATTGTTTATCCACTTAAATAAAAGCATGAATTAAAAAGAATATGAAGTCTCTTTTTGTAAAGGCACATTCTAAACATTTTTTGGTGCTATACCAGCTACAGAGTGCTGACATGATAGGAAAAAAGGATATTGCAGTAAATACAGTACGGGCAGCTGGAACAGTGGTCGGTGTTTGATAGTATAATTGAAACTAAATTTCACCAATTGAATTTTTTTTTTTACATAATCTAAAAACAAGTTTTGATTTTATCACCATGACATCCTTGTTCCCAGATCTCAGTGTTCACTAGTATTAAATATGTATTAATTTTTTTAATTGCCAGTTGAGTTGCAGTGTCAACAAAAAAATTGAAAAAATTAAATGATTTAATTGTTATGTTTAATAATAATGACAAAATGGGAACATGATATTAGGTCAGGAATATACCTTTATTACACCTTTACAGGAGAAGAAGAACAGCAGAACTAAATCAACTTTACACATTCAGAAAATGAGGTTGTTTAGCTTCAAATCAATGTTCTGCTGTCTCAATGAAGTTTAGCCACCTGAGGGCAGCAAAGCCTTTATAATATATTGATATTTTACTTTTGAATCTTTAGGAGCCGACCAAATGAATGCCAGAGGATCATATAAAGAAACTAGATAATAGTGGCTTTTTTCTTATTTCTTTCAAGTTAGTCAACACATTAGGACTTTAGACTATTAAATAAAGTTGATATTTCCTTTATTCGAGGGACTTAAGTTACAAAACACTGTAGATTGAAATAAAACTGCTCTATAAATCTGCTTTCCATCAGTGTCTCCGCACGAATGATCGATACAATGAAGTCTCATCCCTTCCAGTTCGTGTTGAACAGCCAGGAATCAAACCACTAAGCAGTTAGTAGTTATTGATGGAAAGCTCTCCCCGCGCTCTGCTGTCCACCTCCATAAAAAACACGTGAACCCAGAGAAAAACAGCTCCATGGCCAGCTGGTGAGTCACACTAAGCTTATTTCAGTAATTCAGAACCCTAACCATTCCTGGAAGGTCTATGTTAATCAATTGGGGGAAAGAAGACAAAAAAAACGCAGTCATGACTTTCTGGGAAAAGAACATTCCTTTTTTTATTTCGCTGAATTTTCAACATCTTCAAACCACAATCCCACAATGGTTTAACACATCTTTCCTAACCTAAACCTGTGTCTGCTGGTCCCACACCTATTGAGAAAAAAATCTACTTCATCCAGTGTCAGTCCTGACGCCTATATAGTCAAGTCTTTTACATCTTTCCTCAAAATGCAAACCTGTCTTGCAATAGATCTTTTCGTTTACACAGGAACACACCCACACTGTGTTAGAGTGTGTGGTGACCAATGTAGATGCAGCCATTAGGGTGAGCCATTTTAGCTCTTAAGCAGCTCACCCTGAAAGCTCACCTCATCCATTTTCAGTTCACCAACGGGATTTGAGTAATATGATGAGCAATGCCATACTTTAAACCTAAATACAGCAGCAAACAAGAAATGAAGATTGCAGCTGTGTAAATGTTCAAAAAGAGCACTGCTCTTCATTCCAGCCTCAGTCCATGTCCAGTCCTAATTCTGATAGTTGTACAGACTGTGCCCCCATTCATTAGGGTTTAAGAAAAGGACATCACAGAAAACTTTCAAAATTCTTTTAAATCCAAATTTATAGAAAATGTGAGGGGTATTAGCTTTACTAACAAAACATGATTGGCACTACAAAACAAGCTCAGAGCTCAATCTGCCAGATTCCCTTCAGTTGAAGACATTAAAGGCCTCAAACATTGATATCTATGCTTTCTCCACTAAAAGTAACCTAATAATTTCAATAAAAATTCTGCATGACTATACAGAATAAAGGGTTTCTCCTTGAAAGTGACAACGTGTTGTTGATTAGGTTATCATTAGGTCATAATAACCCTGCTGGCCTTACCTCTACCCAGTCTCTAGATGCAAACAAGACAAAACAAAAGCAGTCTTTCATATCTGTCACTGATTTTGGGATTCTTCTAGACGTGTGGTCAATCCTGCATGTAGATTAACATTTTTCTCTTTGAGAGGCACACTTCTATAAGTTAAGAAGAAATAAACATGGTCAAGTGTTTAGGGAAGTATTTTAGGATCCATTTTCAGTTTTTGAGCTCTATTATGGAGATACTGTGTTGCACACAATATCCTATGATAAAAACAATCCGTTGGCTGGGATTGTGAAGAAAAAGACACCCAACAAAAAAATTCTAATCTTTGCTTATAACTCTCTCACTTTACCTCAGAATTTTTTAATTGACTTTGAATGAGAATCTCTTACTGTGGCTCTCCTAGATTTGTGCAGGCTTTAAGAAACGTATTTTATATCAGGATCCACTAACTTGAAAAGGTGAAGTAATAAATCAGAGCTTGTTTAAAATGAACCCTTAATTAAAATCATAATGAATTAACTGCATGGCAGTAAATTATGTTTTACTGTCCATTAGCTGGATTCAATAAAGAAAACTCATCCCTTATCATAAATTGCATTATCTTCTCACTATTATCCACGAGTGGACGGGACGGTCATTTAACTTACTCAGCTGATACAAAAGATTAAAACCACATCAGCCGAGATAGACATAATACCTTGATTCCCAGAAAAATACGCTAAAACTAAAACAGTCCCTGAACCTTGTCATTCATCAGAATTCGCAGGTGATAAAAGAGTCCACGTCACAAAGGATGGCTCACTCAACAAACCTGATTTCCGAACATCAAGAGCGCTTCCTGTAATTTCAGGCATTTCCCGTCAGCTCTCGGTCATTCCGTCCCCCTGTTCACAGGCAGATCGCTTTTTTATTGTTGTAGAGCTGAGTCCAGCAGCAGGCTTGAGTGTCTGGAAGTGAGCCACGCAGATGCTATCTCGCCACACTCCTGAGGTCAGCACATAAGGCCAGAGAGAGAGTGTGTGAAATTTAAAGTTGGATATTTACTCAGAGACTTTCCTATCTGGAAGTACTGACAGGTCCTGTTGCCAACACACACAAACACGTATTTATCTACTGTATGAGCTCCCTCTCACGATGGCTTTTGTTGAAAACAATTCTTACGTGGTATTCTCCCACCAAAACAGGGAAAACAACTTTTTTTTTTAATTGTCAATCAGTGCACTTTAGTTGACAGTAGTTTTAATTAGTGGAAATGTAACTGAACACATGTGGACATGATGCATTCTCTTTCTTCCTCTGCTAAACTTCCCCAAATCCCACGTCCTCATATGTCGACATTGCATTTTTGCCTCTCTGTAACATGGTACATTTTAAAAACTTCAATCTATTATTGGCCTTTTAATAGGCATTATGAGACACTAGTATTTGAAATCTGAAATAAGATGTTTTTGTTTCAACCAATCATGTTTTTATCGTGCAATCAAAATCTTGTAAACGAGTCACTTGGATCATCAGATCTAAATTACAAAGACGACTTTTGAATACACGAGGACACATTTTACGCTAGACACAGTCTAGGTATCAAACTTATGAGGTCCCATAGGAGAGCCATAGGAGATCTACATCCTCTTTAGGACAGAATTTAAAATAGAAATGCAACTCATGCCTTTTCTCAGTTCCTCCTTTCTCAGAAAAGCACTAAGGTTGACATCACATCTGTCTCCTCTTTAAAAAAAGAACCAAAAACAGAACAGAAACATCCCAGGTGGAACCGAAACAACGTTAACTCGGAACCACCGTCATAGAAAAACACGAAATGGAGACTGAAATGAAGTTGCGAAAATAGCCTCTCTGTGATTGGCTCCCCTGAAAAGGTTTGACAGACATAGAATTATCTCTAATCACATTGCCCTGTGCATTTGTGATGCCCCTTATCGGCGTGACGCATGCAGCTGTCTGTCAAAACTGCAGTTAGAGCACAGGCTTCCAGCATTCTGCAAAGACATGTTCATCTTGAAGTCAAAGATGATAAACACAGAACAAGCGTTGGACAGAGTGTTGGTCAATAGAGCTTTTATTTCAGCAAATCATACATACACTGTAAAAAATGCATCTGTATCATAACCTAACACTATCAGAGCTGTGATGACAGTGTGTGATTGAGTGGGTACAGTGTCTGAGGTCATCAAAAATGATTTGCATGTAATCACCCTCATGAAACACGTTTAAGAATGAAATCTCTCCCCTACCCAAAAAAGTTAAACCCAAATTCAAATTTTGGAGGAATGACAATAAAAACAGAAAAATGGGGGTAAAAGCATAATAAAAACAAGACCAAACGCTCGACCCAAAGAGAATAAATGGACAATTAGATGGCACTTTTCAGGTCATAAAATGAAATGTTAACAGATATTTAAATAAAAACAAAGCCAAATGGCAGATTAAGTTTAAGTCTGCTGCAAATTACATCGAAGTGCAGCTGATCTCAGGTTTGCATAAACATGACTAAACAATGCACACGTCTGGGATCAGGCTGATCTATCTTTTCTTTTTTTAAAACCCTGACAGATTCACACTGCAAATAGCTAGAGCAGATCCGATACAAACCAAGCTTTTGAAACAACGTAAGGGCAAACACTGTAAGATGGTCATCCTCTTTTCATATAAAGCTGTTTAAACCAAAGCTTCCACTATCCAGTGTATAATAGATATAAAAACATTTTCATATCCAGCATGTTTAACTGTTTATATGCCTTAGCTGCTACACATTTCTGTGCTTCTCTACATTCTAGCTATCCTATGTAACAAATCAACATATCTGAAATGTGACCTGTGTAACACTGTCAGAAACAAGTTTCCGAACAAAAAACATACCTAAGTCCAAATAGTATGCAGGCTTAAGCCACTCCTATGCTGTGTTTAAATCAGTCCAGTAAGCATGCTTCTCCCCTCTACCGCCACTATCGGTCCTCATCAATAAAAGGCACACCTTCCCTTTAGTCCCTGTCCACTATTTCCAACAGGACTGCACGGCTCTGTGGTTTTGTTCCTGTGTGTGAGATTTGCTCTAGTCTGCTGCGTGCTAGAGACGATTCATATCTGAAAATATATATTTAAAAAAGTTAACGCCACATTTACCTCTTTACCCTGATGAGGTTTTTCTTGAGCTCAATGGCCTGTACAAGTGAGGTTTCATCTGCACACATTAGAGGGGGGTTTTTCTTTTCTTCTCTTTTTCATAGGTTGAGTTCCTCAAAGGTTTGGCCTCTGATTCTACAGACTGAAACAACACCACGCAGTTTCGGACATGCTGAGACAAATCTGTTCCAACTTCTGTATTCATCCTAGCATGGATTAGAAAAATAGATACCGATAATACCCCTCTTCACCCAAACACAAAAGCCCTGACAGTAAAGTTTCATTACTTGCTGAGCCTATGTGATGATTTGCCTTGATTTGTATTTCATTGAAAGCTGCTAGCACACCAGTTCTGATTGTTATCTAGGATACATTAGCTTTTTTTTTTTGTTCTATTTTTTTCTTGCCTCCGTTTTCCGATGAAGCATGTCTAACTCTTATCTTATTTTTCCACACAGTTACAGTCACAGTTACAAATCAAGATCAAAAGAAACCTAAAGAGTGCAATATTTTCTTATCTACATTATAAACATCCCACCTATACACAGGAACATTAGATAAGGATATAAAAAGGACGTGGGGCGGAGAGGAAGAAGATGGTGGAATGAGGAGGAGGGAAATCTCTTTAACATTGTGCCTTAAGCATCAATACACTCGGGCAAAAGAGTGCTGCACAAGGACAGGAGACACTGAAAGACACAGACTGTCCAATGAAGGGAAAGGTCTTTGCACACGTGACCAAATCCAAAGTGATGGACTGGCTGCTGACTGGTTCTTGTAATATTCTCCGGTAGGTTGACACTTTTAAGTGAAGAAGTGCCATGACCACTTATACTTTTTACTCAAACAGGAAGAAAAATGATATATATTTTCCTGGAATATAGATTTTTCTTTTCTTATCTGATGAAGAAACAATACACAGAGAATAGTCCAGAGGCTGAAGTATCTGCCTGGGGAGTCACCTAGAAACGTGCAAATTGACCAAACAAACAGTTTTTTTCTCTTTTCTTTTCTTTTTCTTTTTTTTTTGTTTCAGATTAAGACAGATATTCATCGTTGCCATCGTCGTCGTCCTCATCTTCATCGTCCTCGTCATCCATACCCGCCTGGTCGCTGAGGACGAATGAGTCTTCATCGTCATCGATGAGCAGCGAGTCACCACTGCCGAGGTCCCCGGAAGATTCTATAACAACACCTAAAGAAAAAAAAACATTGACTCTTACTTTCGGAGATGCATTCAGTATTAGCTTTCCTTTACCAAAAGACCACTATTGTCACACATACACACAAATGACAATAAGCAACTGCTAATTATCTAATGGACTTTTATGTAACTAATTATCTCAGCTGAGCACAAAACTCTCAGCCTGAGGGGAAAGAGAGGCCTGATTGAGCTCCATTTGGTTGACAGGAGCAGTTCCATTGTTTTTTCTGAGTAACTGCCTAAAGTAGCCCCGCTCTTTTGTTTCCTTATCAAAGGGACTATGGACAAGGGTTCTGAACCACAGCTTGGAGATGCTATTCATCGCAGCTTTTTCCTGGGCATTTCTATTTTGTTTTTGTGCTCTTCCTGAGGCCGTTGCCTTGTTGCACGGCCCATTGTTGGTCAAGTTTCAGCCGATCAGAAAGACGGACAACCGTTTGACTCTCGAATCATTTGGTAAACAAAGGAACTAAAGGCTGCATGAATGAACGTAAAGAGCCCAGTTCCAGACCAGTAAACTGCAAGGAAACTGCTAAAAAAGTTATTTGTTGAAGCTGTAAGTCATGACGAAGGGTAATACATGCTTACACTTAAGTTTAACAACTGGTACGGACTTAATTACATATTCTTAAATCGTGAATACAAGGACGCATGACAAAGACAGAGAGAGTGGGCTTTATTTTCCCACGTTACTGCATGTAACATCCTTTGTATGTTTCTGTTGAATATCTTTCGATTGGGTCTTTCTTTTGAAAGATCAGTTTGATCTAAATAACATCTCCTGGTAAACAATAATCTAGAAATATTTGGACTTCTAAACAAATTGGATAGAACACATCGACCTCCGACAGTAAAAGAATAAGGACGTCACGGCTAACCTTCAGTATTTCACACACTGTTATCTGGCAGTACTTTTACACAGTGTTTGGCTCACTCTATAACAATTCGACTTCAACTTCTCTGTTAATAATATGGATTTTGTCAAATCACGTGGAAACATTTATTAGGACCACATGACCTCATAAATCTTCACATTTTTCTAGTATGTTGTTTTAAGTATTCTTTTTTTGTAAGACTCATATAGTCCAATCTGACAAAAGAGCTCAATAATCATGCTGTTTTTAAAAATATTTTATCCCTCCAACTTACTCCAGATTGCATTTAAAAAAAAGTGCAAACATTATCTTTGAACGATTTCCATCATTAAAACTTTGCCGTCAGCAAATTATACTGCTCCCTTTTGTTTCCTGCACAAAGAAGTGAGTGAGTGCGGAAACCTGACACTGTGCTTTTCAGTGTTTTGCCTACCGCAGTCTGCAGGACCATGGGTGCGTGAGCCTGCCAACTCGTTGCCATAGCGATCCACACACCAGCACTGCCCGCTGCTGCTGTGACACTGGTGGGACCTGTAGTAGCCCTCCTCATCACAGGACGGCAGATACTGTCCTACAAATTCCAGCCAAAATGAACAGGTTCACACGGCGAGCCAGAGCGCCGAAATGTTTGCGTGCGAAGCCTGTGACTGTGTGTGTGTGTGTGTCTGTGTCTCACCTAGCAACTTCTTCCCGGCTTGCTTTTTGTTGATACCGGACAGTTCTGCTTTACAGGGGGAGTCTGAAAGGAAGATAAAAGGGGGGGATTAGGCACACTGTAGAACTCTTGTTTTTCTCTGTTTTTCTGGGGAGTCATCCGTTTCTGCTGCAGTTTTCTTTTCTTCATCCTGATTTTTGTCATCTTACTGTCTGTCACAGTTCTAGTGAGATTCAAGTCAATTTTCCCCCCGAGCTCTCAAACAAACTTTATCGTTGAAAACGTAAGAATTCCCCCCATTGCTCGCTATTATGAATAACAGCTAGCTAGCATAACTGTGCAGATGTTGGCATATTTTAGGTTTGAATTATTTTTTGTTTGCAGGTAACATACCTGTATATCTCTGGAAGCCTGTGCACCACTCAGAGCTGGTTATAATATTGTCAGGGTGTGTATCACATGACCTGAAGAATGCATCAGAGCACGGTTCATTCCTGTCCAGGTAGAGGCTCTTGATCTCAGACTGGTCCAGCTGTTGGTCAAAGTTTGTGTCCAGTCGAGAGAACATCCAACCAAGAGGGTCCTTGCAAATAGGTGAAGTCCCAACTTCAAACTCTGGAGAATAAAATAGAAAAAGCAAAACAATATATATCAATATATCAATATCTTCATACAAACCCCATATCCCCCCCCAAAAAAAATAGCTGGGATGCAACGCAAAATGAAAATATAAGCACAATAGATTGGTTTGTAAATCTCACAAATCAATAATTCGTTCACAATAGAACAACAAGGAACTGTTGGAATCCTTATTGCAGCAACCCGTTTTTAAAAAGTTGGATGGAGGTCAACAAAAATTGAACAGCTGGAGACATCTCTGCGTATACACAAATATCCATACACGAGCACATCTTTAAAAGAGCCATCTATGCTTAAGAAGTATTTACAGGTTCTAGAGCAACAAATGCTCCCTCCCAGTCAACATATTTCTAAGGGAAGGGCTTGCATATTTCAGCAAGACAATGCTCAGATACAAAAGTTCATTATGACAATAGCACAGCTGTTCTAGAAGGGTCTGGACTGCCCTCTCAGTGGTCCTTTCGCCAAATTACAAGTATTTGGCACATCATGAAACCCAAAATCACCAAAAACCCAGAACCTTTGAACAACTAGAGTCCCTTTATTGAACAAAAATGGGCCGACATTCCTCTCCTAGAGGTCCAGCAGCTGGTCTCCTCAGTGCTCAGAGTTAAAAGAAGAGGGCAAGCTGCAGAGCTGCAAACATGGCGCCATGCCAACGGTTTTGAGAGCATCAGGCCGTCGATGAGCTGATATTAGTTCCATTCATAATGAAATGCTCCACTTTCAAGAAATGATATCATTTTTCTATGTCATACTCTGAATACATGATAGGTTTAATGCATTTGTTTGGGTCTAGAGTTTACACAGTGTCCCACTTTTAAAAAAAAGATTGCAGTTTGAGAGATGATGGATCTGGTGACTCACTGTTCTTCTCTGGCTTCTGGATCTTTACTCTCTTGTGGTTGCCGTTCTCGTGCAGCACTCTGAACCAGTCTCTCAGGCGACTCACCACCTCCTTCAGATCTGACTCGCTGCACACTGCGGAGTAATTGTGATTAATGAGACTGAGAAGGTGCTTTAGTTTCATCATGAGGTGTCGGGGTTTGCAACAGAACAGCTTCCTTCAGCTCCATTCTAATTGATAACATCTTAGCAGAATCTTTACAATACTTGTGGCCTTGAACACAGTGTAAAGCTTTCCGAAGAATGTATGGATGTATTGTTTCTTCTGTGCAGTATATTTTGCAGGCTACCACGTGCAGAGGTGTGTACCTTTCTTCTCTGAGGGACTCTGTTCAGAGGGACAAGGACACATGCCAGGACACTTCACAGAAATCTTCTTGCCCGTGATGCATGCCTGGTAGTCCAGCTTACACTGTTTAGGAGCAACAGAGCCAAAGAGAGGACAAAGGAAATGATGGGGGAAAAAAAGAAAGGAAAAAGTGAGTTTGAGACAACCTCCGCCGCGTCTTGACAGAGGACGTTGCTGTATGGTCAGATAGTTAGGGGGCCTTGAAACACTCGTGCATAATATAAGATCTGATCTTATGAAATAAGCATTTTGCATGACCTTGTGCAAAATCTACACCATTTGTCTGTGTTTATGTGTGGTTTCTGGTCATTGTTCAGCTTTAGTGTAACATAACCGTCATAGTGATGATAAATGTAATATTGTGTCTACCCTGTAAGTCGCTTTGGATAAAAGCGTCTGCTAAATGCATAAACATAAACATAAACATAAATGCATAAGCAATTCAGCATTCTATTGGACAGCTAGCTGACCAAACTGTTCCTCTATAGCTACACAAAGCGACTAAACACTCATCAACACGACAAAAGACAAATTGTATTTCATTCAGTTTGCTATTCATATACATTGAATATTATATGATAATATCACGGTATGTAGCCTAAGTCAGACAGAAACCTACTCTGCATGTATTCTATGAACAGGTACAGGTCAGATACACGCTTTCAGCGCTCATATGTGCTGATACCTTGGTAGAGTAGCTATGTCCATCGCTTCCACAAACAGGCGAGGGATGAACCACAGGGCACGGTTTGCACTTTGACCCCGGGCTCTGGTACAAACTGGCATCTTTGAAACTGGGGAACAGATTACAAAATGCTTGAATGCACATGAACTAAACATTTGAGTGCCTTTCTGAGCCAAACATCTACAATCATTCATCATCATTGTTCATCTTCACGACAACGGCATGTCGCGCAGGACAATCATTTTGCATCCACAAATGTAATGTCATGTGCTTACATCAATTTCACACATGAGACAAGGATTTAGGATTTGTGCGTGATTATTTTCTGATTTGCTTGCACAGTGTTGTGGGAATCTGGTTGTTTCTAAGAACGGAAAATGAGGTCAGTTTGGTGTTACTGTCCAGTCTAGGGCGTCCCAGACGAAACACACATAGAAACACACAAAAGCCATTCATATCACTTGGCAGGACTCTGTGTTCACTGTATGTTAGTGCCAGTTTCTGGGTAACTCGACCAAATGGTAATGTCAAAACCAGTCGCAGAACAGCAGATCTACCAGAAGACCAGTTGCACAGGATAGAAAAATCTGTTGCCACTATCCATCAGAAATGAATTTAAAAAGGAGGTGGAGAAAAGTGACAGAGGAAGTTGTATAACATGCTGTCACCATTTCCTTTCCTCCTTGCCCCTTAGTGCTTCCTTTTATTGTGGCTTTGCCATGGAAGAATGTTGAATGCAAATTCGAGGGAACACTTAAAACGTCGGCCTTCTTCAAAGGGCAACTGTGTGTGTGTATGTGTGTGTGTGTGTACTTACCTAACTCTCCTCTGGCTGACACAAGTGGCAGTCTTATAATCCTCAGCCACACACACCTTGTGGCGACTACATTTGATCTTGAGACAGGGGTCCTTAGCTGGATCAAGGCCTAGACGAAGTGTGCACAGAAGAAGAATAAACAAGCACTTCTGACACTAGGTATGTTTTTGTGCACAGTGCACCATAGAACAACCTCAGTTTCCTCGACAACCAAAGCATTTGGGCGTCAAAAGGAGATCCAATCTACCAGGGACATTGTTTCATTTCACTTACTCACATTCACGATCAGTGCATCTCATTTGTAACCATGTGTTTTCTTGCATTTTAAAAATTGAAAGCAATGTGGATTGATGTTGGAGATATAGCCGTGTGATTGTGCGAAGGTGTTAATGCTCCCTATTTGTGCACTAGCAACATCTATCTTGTACTGAACTCAAAGCCGTAATACTGTTAAGTATCCTTAGAGCTAAAAACAGATGGAACTGGTTTTAGAGGATACTTCTGATCTTACATCAGCTTGCCCTCAGTGTCATGCTCATGTGCGCAGAGATTCTCAAACTGACCCTGGGTCAGTTCAGGCTGCTGAGAGGCATGCGTGGCTTTTGAAGCAGGAGCCCTTTTGCGTATCTGAATCTTAGGCACACAGTATGCTCTTTGATTGGTACAGATGATCGAGGTGTTTCTGACCTCATGTGTCCAAGCAGTGAATCACCAATGAGCAGAATCAAAAGCCCTTTGCTGTTCCCAGAACAGTCTGTAAATGACCTCTGCTCTAAAGAACCTTACTGTAATCCCTGAGCAGCTTTGGCAGATTATCCTGCCTCCATCCTCCAACGCACGATCTAATGCCATTGTTTCCCTGACTTGTTTGTGTGTGGATATATGTGTGTGTGTGGATGAGTTTGAGGATACAGTGATAAGTGAGAGAATATGTTGATGTCCTGGTGTGCCTGGATGACTGTAAAAGATTATCAGTGTAGGACAATGAGAAAAAGGTGAGCAGAAAAATGAAAACGCCCGTTTTCTTTAGCTGTTGCATGGAGTGGGAGGAACTGGGGATAGCTTCAAAGCCACATTTGCTTGAATTTTTACAGTACTAGAAAAGTAACGTGCTGAGGATAACTTTCTTAATATAAGTGATATATATACATAATAGGGATTTCAAGTGATAAAACGTTTCTAGAGTCAAAACGCACAGTGCTCAAATAAAAGTTGGTCTAATGTCAAAACTACTGGACAGTTTTCTTTTAAACCGGCATGACAGCCAGTGCTTGCAGAAAGAAACATGAGACAGAGCCTCAGAAGCTGCCATCCATATGGGCCAGTAGCTGCCCACTATTCATGCTGATATATTTCCCCATGCTAATGAGTCACCGAGCCAACCCAGAAAAAAGTACATCCATCCAGTAATATAATTGTGATGCTGTAAAATATTTTATTACAGCCCATTACAGCCTTGAAAGGCCTAGCCATAGAGTACACATTTCTATCACTTATTATTCATCGTCACCTTCATAAAAAGTAGATTTAGTATCATAACCTGACAAAGAAACCATGCTTCCATAACCCTGGCATAATTGGCACAGCATAATCTTCATATCCTTTTAAGAATAGAAACTAGGAAGTTATATTTTGCATGTGTTCTTCCATTCAAGCAATATATCAATTGAGTGTATCAAAACCTTGTATGGCTTTATGGTTCTTGGACTATGAAAATTGCATGCCAAATTTAGACAAGTGTCCCATTCATCTTAAATACATAATTTCTCAACTTTTTATCACTACATCTAGATATTATTAAAAAAAATGGACACAGTGTGTATAAGTGTTGTCATATATTCCCTCTGAATGATATACTTCATGTCAGTGGTGTTGATATGATTTTTCAAACAAGGATTTAGATATTAAAAATACAATTAATCAATAAGAAACTGAATTTTAAACTGTCCAATAACATATTCCATTGGTCTTTTAACACACAGAGGTAGTACTGAGGAACTTTCTCATTTACACCCACCTTGATCGAAGGGCTTGGATGGAGTCCATGTCCCAGGTTCCTGAAGCACAGTTAAGAAATAAAGAACTTCATGAAATTCAAATTCAAATTATACCTTGGGTTATGTTCTACTTCAAACAAGAGTATTGCATGTGCAATACAGAACACCAGAAAGGAGTCATACAAACCTCGACCTCCTTTGGCAGAAAGCATTGAAAAGACAAAACAAAATCAGGAATTAATTTAGAAATATAAATATATTTATGTAGGATTTTCTTAAAGTACATTGTGTGTGGAAAAATAAGACCTTGGTAATCTATGAAACATACAAATTTTCATAAATCTGAACATGCATCTATTTATTCAATTTTAAGATGCAGTACTAAGCATGAAAGAAGACCGAGCCTTTATGTTTGGCCGCACACCCATTATGAATAGGCGCCTGGATGACATCTCATGAACCAAAAGGCCTGAAGAATTTAGGAATTTTGTATCCACCTCATTTCAGACCCTCCTCCTTATAACTGAAGATAACCATTACTGCAGACTTTGTTGAAAATAGGTTTTACTGATACAGTACATCCAGAGATGCCAAACAACATGCACACTTCACCTGATCAACTGTTAACCAATAAAAACAGTACCGCTCCCATTGAGAAACCATGCAATAAAACAACATACAGTAAATGACTATTTCTGCCAGAGGTGGTTGGTAGCAATATTGAAATGACTGCTTATTCAAAAGCATGAGCTTTAACTGATCTGCAGAATTCGGGATGTCTTTCTGTGAAAAGTATGTTTAATACTGTGCTGGGAAAAAAAGCCTAACATGGGGCTATTGCAGCCCTGCTGACGGCAATAGCACCATGGACACAGCATCTCCATTCTATTCCCAATTGATGCTCTTTTCAGTGGTGATTCACTTATTCTTGCGTAGTTCACCACAATCGACAAAAAAGAAAAGAAAAATCACACCACTTGCCTTCGGGCGTTTTGTTAACCCCTCTGCAAAGGTGTGCGACTGCAAAATCGTTTACTCCGTTAAGCTCCTCCCCCAGGCAGTGACTCAGATCATCTCCTGTGAATGTGATCCCACGGTCTAAATGGGGAATCCACAGAAGTGAGCGCCGTGCCAGCTTTTAATAGTGAGACAAGCTGGAGGAACTCCCAGCAGGTACGGGCTTATGATGCAAATGTGAAAGGAGCTTAAGGAAGAGTCTGATGTTTTACGCAGCGTGAGTTTAAACGTGTCGCTGTCTGGGCTCCTCGTCTCTCTTCGGGAATTTATCCAACACCAGCACGACGTGTCCCCTCTTCTGTTGTAGCAACAGCCTCGTTACGCTCATCTTGTTGTCAGACTCTTTGTTTTGCCTCCAGCGCCCAATTTGCTTTTATTCTCAGGAAGCACTTAATGGAAATTATCCTTAGAAATGTACACCTTTGGTTAATAGCTGCCAAGGATGTAAACAACCTGTCTAATTCCAAAACGAATCTCAAGTGGGAACTTGTCTCCCCAGTATTCCTCAGACTACTTGAAGGACAGTTTAACGGTTAGGTGTGTGTACTGTACACATGAGCAGTTAGATATTTAAGCATAAATTTGCTCACAAAGCCACATTGTTGGGAGCGCCTTGGGGAATTAAGAATGTTAATAAATGTTTGCACAAATCTCTCTGTCTCTGAGCAAAAAAAAAAGTTTCTAATAAAGATGTGTTGAGATTAAAGTAAAGATAAGTGTAAGACTAATCCAAGAGAAGGTTGGTGGAATTCTCCAGGAGATGAGCACGGACACAACTGTGTGTATCTGTGTTGGTGGATGTGTAGCTCCACTCCCTCGGCTCCAAGTTAAATCGATGCGGTTACCGCTGACTTGACAGGGCAGACGTTTGTATTTTTGTTATATTTGGTGGGTACAGTGGGGAACGTGCTACTCCAGACTGTCTAGTCAATACTTCGCTTGTTGCGTCAAATGTTGCATTGTTGTTATCTGGGAAGCACACGGCCTGCACAGTTAGACAAAATGTATGTCCTCTGGATTCATTTTACTGCAGTACAAACAGTGACAGGAGGTTTGGGATGAAAAAGGAGCAACAGGGATCTCAGCCCAGGTTAAAACTGCTCCTCCATTCGATTGGGGCCATACTGGAGCTGCTATTAAACAATTCAGGATGGGTCTCATGTCATTTGCACACAAAACTTTCAAAAATGTTCCTTTAATCTCAAGGTAATTATGGATGCTGAGGTTTAGGCGCTGTTTCGGCCTCCCCTACCTTCATTGAGTATTAGGACGCTTAACACTATATCTTCCTCCTTCAAGCACTCTTAGAAGCATTTGTCGTCAAGTAGTTCCTAATACGGCATTAAAAACGGACTTCATGGCATCAGAAAATGTACGGAGCTCTAAGAAAAGTAAGAAAAACATAATAAATTTACTACTCTGAGCCATCGGTGCCAATATAAATTTTTAATGATTAACTGGCAAAGCTAGTATTGATAATAGTTATCGAATCAACTATTCAGTCACTATTTCAAGAATTTTGCATTGCACATCCATATTGTGTGAGTCTCTAACGCATCTATACTTTTAACTTGCCCATCTCACAGATGTGTGAGATGTTTAAGTTTGGGGTTTAAAGTAATTAATGTTCCATTTCCATACCTGTGTGTGTGTGACTGATTCGGAATCATTAACTTTTACTGTACTAGAGTCGAGATTCTCACTCTTTGCCCCCCCGAGAACCCCTGGTATTTTTCAAAGAGCAAAAGCTTTAATTATCAGCGCGTCTCCCTCTCTGTCACCTCCCTGCTTGCTACGAGGTGGACAGGGTCAACTCGTGCTCTTTCTCAGCTTTAATTAGAAGCTCCTTTTTGTCGTGCATTGCTGATGCCTCTGACCTTCCCTCCTCTCGGCAGACTCCTCGGCACTCAGCGCCTTTTCTGTCTGCGCCGCTTCCACCCATTAAAAAAAAGTGGCCGCAGTGAAATGAGAGTCCGACTGATGGTCCCTCCTAGCGGAGCAGACGGCGGAGGCTGAATAACGAGAACATCGCATTAAGGGGGGGCCGAGCACTCCAGAACCAGAGCGGCCGGCAAAAAGCGCTCGCAGTCGGATTCCTTAATGAAATCAACGCACGCATCTGAACACAGCCGCATACGCACACCCACAAACAGACGCCCGTCTGAACACACACGGGCACGTCTTCAGCCTCGGAAACCAACAAGTGAATCATCTCAGTGCTGACCCTAATGCTCCGATATGTCAGCCAACCGTCAAACCAGTGTATATGGACGCACTCTACTCTGATGGACACACCGGAAAACCCCTAAGTTCAAGTCCAGCATTCTCTTGGGTGTGTTCTGAAACAGCGTCTTTTTTTCCCGCTTCTCTATTCCTTTCTGCCCACATCTCTTTCCCCCACCCCCCTCCCTCGCAGTTTTTCGGCAGCCTTTTGCCCTCAACACAACATTGGGAACATTCGCTGCCGCTGGCTTACATTCTAATTTGCTGCTGAGCACATGGATGCTTTTTTTTTTTTTGGCGTCGGCTCCACGTCTGCAGGAGCGGGGCCAGACAACACGCTGCTCCTCACGAACACTTCTCTCGCCTTTTTCTTACGATTTTTCCACAGATCTGAGCTCGGCCCTCATAATTGCGCCCTAGTGGCCTCCTCCCTCCTCAGCTCGCCGTCGTGTCGTGGACACCGCACACGTCTTCGCCGTCCTGGCTCCACTCGTCTTGCTCCACTCGTTTTGCTCCAGCTCGTCGCACGCATGCTCTCCCCATCACACACACACACACGCAGTCATCCCCACAAAGGTGCTTTGATGTGAAGGAGGCCTCCGGCTCTGTACCCTCCCTTCATCATTCACACTCCAAAGCACAAACAACGCAGGGCACACAGTCGCTATAAAAACACACATCACAGAGAAGGAGATGATGAAAAGGTAATATTTCCTCTAATGAGAGCGGTTTTAAAGGAGACATAATCATGCTCTCCTACCACATCTCGCAGTTAAGGTGTTTGTCATCACACACCATTCATCATCTTTTGTTGGAATGGTTTTCCCCCCCTCAGCTTATCTCTGCACTCTGCCCGTAATGTATGGTAGCCAAGGGCGAGGAAGAGGAGAAGAATGTTTTTCGAAAAAACTTAGATGGCACTGGCGGAGTGAGGACAGCCCTGGGCCCCTTTCCGCCGTACCAACAGGACTTTTCAGTAAATCACCGGCCCAGATTTTATCAGGTGCACTTACGGCTTGTAATGAAAGGCAACAGCAATGGCTGACAAATAAAATCTGAACTGCTCAGAATGTTTCGGGGCGGTAAGTTTGCTTGCGATGTACTTTTGAGAAGGAGTGAGAAAACATCATTGTAAATGCCATACATACTGGCTTGTACAATGAGGAAAGCATCAATGGGTTTGAAGTGCCGGATCCATTATCTACCTGTAAATGCGGTAATTCGCTCGGAATTTGTTGTATAAGAAATGACTGTGCACCACTTAAGAGCTTATTAGGTTAATAGCTAAATTTAAGTATATCTAAGTCAGATTCAGCCACCAGTTACATTATATGTAGCAATTGTATTTGTATGTGTGGTAATTCTGAAAAAATCAGAATGGATCAGGAAATCAGAACTATTGTTAACTCAATGATTTGCCATTGTGTACGTGAGCCGTCAAACCATTCTCGTGCCCCACAAAGTCCAATGAAAATAATTACTTTTAAGAATTACATTTTGTAGCCAACGTCTATGTGATGGTAAGGTAATCGTATGCATCACTATAATGCGAAAATAGCCAAATACAATATTCTCTTTTACTTTTATAGTCCTCATCTGTTAGCTTTGCCTGTTACTTCAGCTGTGTAGCAAAGCATCTGCTGAAAAGCTACTTTATGTGACGCAATCTGAACATGAAATCTGTAATGTGCGTTATGAAGCATCTGACATGTCGTTGCTTCTTTCCCTGAAAGGAACGAGTATGTAGGCCATGTGGCACCGAAATACAGTTGTGTCTTCATGTGTTGTGCTCAATGAGTCGTGACAATCAGTCGCAGCTTTCCCGTGCTGGCTGCCACTTGAGCTGTGCCCCATACATGTGTGCCGGTGTTTTGACGGTATGGGATTGTATGCATGCCATTATGCATGGCTCTCTCAGTCAGACTGGCGTTGCATCAAAACACGGGCCAGACTGTGACTCCGTTGTGCATAACAGCCTCATCAGGAAGTGCTGCTCAACAAATCAGTCTCACGTAGTGGTAAAATTTGTTATGTGGCTTTATGCTAAATGCTCATGTACATTTAACAGAGGGCATGATGGGTGGTACGAGTCCACTTATGTAACAACCATTTGAAATAAGAGAATGTTGACTCATTTGTAAGGAAAATATCCTCATATAATATGCTTGTGATCTATCTATCTATCTATCTATCTATCTATCTATCTATCTATCTATC